GTTACAGATTGCTACAGACTGTTCTGTTTTTGACAGATTCTGTTTTTCGTGTGTTGTTTGCTTATTTTGATGCATCTATGGCTAGTATCGGGGGGTATGAACCATAGAGAAGTTGTAATACAGTAGGTTTAACACAAATATAAATAAAGAATGAGTTCATTACAGTACCTTATGTGGTGTTTTTTCTTTCTTGCGCTAATGGAGTTTATGAGATTTCCAGTTGAGTTTTGTGTTGTGAAGCTTTCAAGTTTTGGGTAAAGATTTGATGGACTATGGAATAAGGGGTGGCAAGAGCCTAAGCCTGGGGATGCCCATGGCACCCCAAGATAATCCAAGGACAAACAAAAGCCTAATCTTGGGGATGCCCCGGAAGGCATCCCCTCTTTCGTCTTCGTCTATCGGTAACTTTATTTGGAGCTCTATTTTCATTCGCCACATGATATGTGTTTTGCTTGGAGCGTCTTGTACGATATTAGTCTTTGCTTTTTAGATTACCACAGTCATCCTTGCTGTACACACCTTTTGGGAGATACCCACTTGATTTGGAATTTATTAGAATACTCTATGTGCTTCACTTATATCTTTTGAGCTAGATAGTTTTTGCTCTAGTGCTTCACTTATATCTTTTAGAGCACGGCGCTGGCTTGATTTTGTAGAAATGTTTGATCTCTCATGCTTCACTTATATTATTTTGAGAGTCTTTTAGAACAGCATGGTATTTTCTATGGTTATAAAATTGGTCCTAGAATGATGGGCATCCAAATTGGGTATAATAAAAACTATCATAGGAAGTGAATTGGATGATATGATCAATTTGATGCTTGATAATTGTTTTGAGATATAGAGGTGGTTATATTAGAGTCATGCTAGTTGGGTAATTGTGAATTTAAAGAATACTTGTGTTGAAGTTGGCAAGTCCCGTAGCATGCACGTATGGTAAAAATTGTGTAACAAATTTGTTGTATGGGATGCTCTTTTGATTGCCTTCCTTATGTGTGGAGGTTGGGATCGCGCGATGGTTAACTCCTACCAACCCTTTCCCTAGGAGCATGTGTAGTAGTACTTTGCTTCGAGGGATAATAATACTTTTGCAATAAGTATATGAGTTCTTGATGACTAAATGCGAGTCCATGGATTATACGCACTTTTAGCTTTCCATCATTGCTAGCCTCTTCGGTACCGTGCATTGCTCTTTCTCACCTTGAGAGTTGGTGCAAACTTCATCGGGGCATCCAAATCCCGTGAGATACGCTCTATCACACATAAACCTCCTTATATCTTCCTCAAAACAGCCACCATACCTACCTTTTATGGCATTCCCATAGCCATTCCGAGTTTCCACCGTTCCGTTCATCATGACACGTTTCATCATTGTCATATTGCCTTGCATGATCATGTAGTTGACATCGTATTTGTGGCAAAGCCACCATGCATAATTTTTCATACATGTCACTCTTGATTCATTGCTCATCCCGGTACACCGCCGAAGGCATTCATATAGAGTCATATCTTGTTCTAGTTTTGAGTTTTAATTCATGATTTGTAAATAAATAGAAGTGTGATGATCATTATTATTAGAGCATTGTCCCTTATAAAAACAGAAAGGCAAAAAAAGGCCAAAAAAAAAGAAAGGCCAAAGAAAAAAAGAAAAAAAGAAAAAAGAAAGGCAAAAAAAGGCCCCCCAAAAAAAGAAAATAAAAGGGGGCAATGTTACTATCCTTTTCCACACTTATGCTTCAAAGTAGCACCATGTTCTTTATATAGAGAGTCTCTTATGTTGTCACTTTCATATACTAGTGAAAAGTTTTCATTATAGAACTTGGCTTGCATATTCCAACGATGGGCTTCCTCAAAATGCCCTAGGTCTTCGTGAGCAAGCAAGTTGGATGCACACCCACTAGTTTCTTTTTGTTGAGCTTTCATACATTTATAGCTCTAGTGCATCTGTTGCATGACAATCCCTACTCTCATGTTGACATCAACTGATGGGCATCTCCATAGCCCGTTGATTATCCTCGTCAATGTGAGACTTTCTCCTTTTTTGTCTTCTCCACACTACCTCCATCATCATATTCTATTCCACCCATAGTGCTATATCCATGGCTCCCGCTCATGTATTGCGTCAGAGTTGAAAAAAGCTGAAGCGCGTTAAAAAGTATGAATCAATTGCTTGGCTAAAACCGGGGTTGTTTTTGATGGGAGTATTTTCTGTAATGAAAATGAAACATAGCCTAACTATATGATTTTGTAGGGATGAACCTTCTAATGCGATGATATTTTGAGAAGACATGATTGCCTTGTTAGTATGATTGAAGTATTATTATTTATTATGTCAATATGAATTTTTATTTTGAATCATTTGGATCTAAACATTCATGCCACAATAAAGAAAATTACATTGAGAATTATGCTAGGTAGCATTCCACATCAAAAATTATGTTTTTATCATTTACCTACTCGAGGACGAGCAGGAATTAAGCTTGGGGATGCTTGATACGTCTCCAATGTATCTATAATTTTTGATTGGTCCATGCTATTATATTACCCGTTTTGGATGTTTATGGGCTTTACTTTACATTTTTATATCATTTTTGGGACTAACCTACTAACCGGAGGCCCAGCCCGAATTGCTGTTTTTTTTCCTATTTCAGTATTTCGAAGAAAAGGAATATCAAACGGATTCCAAACGGAATGAAACCTCCGGGAGCGATCTTTTTGGAACAAACGTAATCCAGGAGACTTGGAGTGGACGTCAAGCAGCGAACGAGGCGGCCACGAGGGTGCCCGGCGCGCCCCACCCTCGTGGGCCCCTCGTGGCTCAACCGACATACTTCTTCCTCCTATATATATCCATGTACCCTGAAAACATCCAGGAGCACCACGAAAAACTATTTCCACCGCCGCAACCTTCTGTATCCGCGAGATCCCATCTTGGAGCCTTCGCCGGCACTCCGCCGGAAGGGGAATCGACCATGGAGGGCCTCTACATCATCTCCAAGGCCTATCCGATGAGTTGTGAGTAGTTTACCACAGACCTTCGGGTCCATAGTTATTAGCTAGATGGCTTTTTCTCTCTCTTTGAATCTCAATACAAAGTTCTCCTCAATCTTCTTGGAGATCTATTCGATGTAACTCTTTCTGCGGTGTGTTTGTCGAGATCCAATGAATTGTGGGTTTATGATCAAGTTTATCTATGAGAAATATTTGAATCTCCTCTGAATTCTATTATGTGTGATTGGTTATCTTTGCAAGTCTCTTCAAATTATCAGTTTGGTTTGGCCTACTAGATTGATCTTTCTTGCAATGGGAGATGTGCTTAGCTTTGGGTTCAATCTTGCGGTATCCTTTCCCAGTGATAGCAGGGGCAACAAGGCACGCATTGTATTGTTGTCATCGAGGATAAAAAAATGGGGTTTATATCATATTGCTTGAGTTTATCCCTCTACATCATGTCATCTTTCTTAATGTGTTACTCTGTTCTTATGAACTTAATACTCTAGATGCAGGCATGAGTCGGTCGATGTGTGGAGTAATAGTAGTAGATGCAGAATCGTATCGATCTACTTGTTGCGGACGTGATGCCTATATACATGATCATGCCTAGATACTCTCATAACTATGCACTTTTCTATCAATTGCTCGACAGTAATTTGTTCACCAACCGTAATACTTATGCTATCTTGAGAGAAGACACTAGTGAAACCTATGGCCCCCGGGTCTATCTTTTATCATACAAGTTTCTCATCTACTTTTATTTGCATCTTTTACTTTCCAATCTATATCACAAAAATACCGAAAATATTTATCTTATCTTATTATCTCTACTCGATCTCACTTTCGCAAGTTACCGTGAAAGGATTGACAACCCCTTTATCGCGTTGGTTGCGAGGTTCTTGTTTGTTTGTGTAGGTGCGTGGGACTTTTGAGGAGCCTCCTACTGGATTGATACCTTGGTTCTCAAAAACTGAGGGAAATACTTACGCTACTTTGCTGCATCATCCTTTCCTCTTCAAGGGAAAAATCAACGCAGTGCTCAAGAGGTAGCAATGACGTGATCCTTGTATGTCCCACATTTATGTGTGACATGAAACGTTTGTATGTCCCGCACTAATGTCATGAGACTTTCTATATCCCGCACTAATTTATGTCATTAAAATCTGATCATGCGTCTGTTCATCCACCTCCTCCCCCTTGTCATCAACTGATTCGTCGGCTAGGTGGTGGGTGCCACTTGATGATGATCTCGACCTCGACGCAGTAGGGACGGCGACATCAGTGGAGCGGCAGCAGAGCACCAAGGCCACGTGCCCAAGACATGCTCCGCTATGAAATTGACATATCATGAAGTTAGGAGATATACCTCAAAAACGTGTATGGAAAGCAAATTACCAAACGTCATACCTCAACAAAAGCTTTAAGCTTGTTGTACAACTCTTCACCTGGAGGGTACTTGAGTGCCTCGCCGGCGTCGTTGACATGCTTCGAGAGCTCGTTTTGCTGTTGCAAACAATAGAACAAATCATTTTGGCACAATGTAGGCAAGTATGTAGAGATAAGGTGTATCTCACCGGCCGCACGTGATTTCCAGCTGAGAAACAAAATGGCCGATCAAGGTCTGTATATTTTACAGGTGTAAAAGCGCTAGAAACGACGATCCAATCAGAGCCTTAAAGTAAACATGTATTGGTAAACATACTCTAGGTCTGTAACTAAGTAACTGAAACACCCCCCTCTCAATGCTCAAGATATATCAGTCCAGAACTACAAGAAAGTTAAAAACCGAATACTCCAATTCTTGGATAGAAAATTATCTCTTAAAAAGTAAGGCATAGGTAGTCTTAACGACGATCCATGTTGAAATAGCTACAAGAAAAATCTCAACAAACCTATTGGAAACTCCCCTTAGCAATCATTAAGACAACAACAAAGTGTCCATACCACAACTGGAAGATGATAAGAACGACGACAAGCATGGAAAACCAAAATCACTTCTTAGAAGTTCAGGGAAGATCCCAAAAATTCTTGAGCAGTATGACGATGATGTTCACGTTGCACTTGGTGCCCTTGCTGATCGCGTGCGCGGCCAACTCATTGGCAAGTGCCTTCGCATAGGGAGGGCCGCTATTGTTTGTTGGCTTCTTGTCCCACTCCCTGATGATCCGTGGCACGCTCAATCTTCTCTCGATGAAGGCGCATGCGTCGCTTGGAGCGACGACGTCCCAGAGCCCACGGGTGGCCAGGATCAGGAACTTGTCCCCTGGCTTCCGCTTCACCGCGACGACCTCAGGATCCGGGACAGCAAGCCTACGGACAGTAGCTCTAGACTTTGAGCTCCCTGTATATTAGGAGGTGTGTCTTTTTAGTATGGTAGAAAACTAGGTTTAAAATAAAGCATGGTAGAAAACTAGAAATTAAACACATGGGTACGGGTGTCATGTAGCTTGAATTCATGTGGGAACTGAGACACACACATATATATGTGAGATGCACCTTTAAAGGTCACAGGTGAAAGGAAAACTACGCAAATTGCAGGCACAAAGAAGCAAGAAAACAAGAGAGTAATTAAGAGTCATGTTCAACTATTTTTCCAAAAAAAAATGTGCAGTTTAGACGTTAGACTTACGAAAAGCGTGACGACGCATAATGGCTTCAAGTCTGCTGGTAGATCCAACCACATCACCTCCTCCATTTTGTGGCTGGGCATAAATACATTATGGACCATGTAAGTTTTTTCTCTCGAGATAAGCTCAAGCAAAGTACATAATTAACTAGCAGATTAAACATTAATCATGTGCAATTTTCTATAGACTATAAACTATTACAATTTGGGGCTAAGTGACTATACAAAAACACCCATTTCAAAAAATAAGCTAAATAGCTCAAATCCTCAACCGTTGGATCCTAATACATAAGCACCTGGAAGTAATTGGAGTAAGACCAACACCTATCATATGCATAATGAAAACATAACAATAATGGTATGTATGATGTGATAATGAGTTTAATGCCTGGGAGCAAAGTTAAGCACGCACTCAGGTGCTTTAAACTAAATTTAAGCTAGTGTTGGAGACCCAATTGCATCTTTCATACCCCAACATTGTACTGAAGCACTGATTACATATATTTGATATCCACATCTTTGTCTCAAATGACTTATATATGTCATCTATCATATTTGTATTAAATATACAAGTGTGACATGAACATGTAATATATATCATATGATAAAAATAAAAATATGATATACTGCAGGTATATATCATATGATAAAAATGATTATAATGGAGGATGGTGAGGAGGACGAAGGAGCAATGCTACTTATGGGCAGCAGCCAACGCCATGCATCGACACACAATTTTCTTGTCTTTTTGAAAAGGACGATATACCCATATGGCCTCTGCCTCAGATGTACACAACCATATTATTAACAACATGCATAATGCCTGCCGAAGAAAGTGCATCCATAATGTCTGACGCTATGATCATCATCCACCCTCTACCGGCCTGCTCACATAGAAGATAGAACTAGCCGTAAAAGGAGAAGACGCCGGAAAGAGCGACGGCATCACATCGATCAATTTGTAACAGCATGCATTCCTGTTGTACTTGAACTAGTAGCTGTTAGGAGAAATGTTGGTCTGGCAGCTGCTAGTTGACAGCTCCTAGTTCAAGTACAAACACAAGTAAATAACTGCATCCCGAACATTATATGCTTATTAGTCATGGATATTTGCACTTTACTTTCTGAAAAACAAATCACAGCTAAGCACATATATATCTATATATATACAGTTCTTTGAGGCAAAAATTCGGAGAAATTTCTTATTTTTTTTACTGTTACTTAGGAGAAGTGTGGGTCTGGCAGCTGCTAGTTCAAGTACAAACATAGGTATAAATGCCTTTCAAAGCATACCTTCTCTCTCACATGTGCCCTCACATAGAACAGAAGCTTGCATGACCTAGTTCAATTCAAAAGGTGTACACAGAGCCAAACAATACCTACCGGTAGATTTGTGCTAGCACACCAGGCATTCCGGTTGTACAAAATGAACATTACATAACTATACTAGCTAGCTGATCCCCTTCTTTCATGCCTAGAACTTTCGGTGTTTCTTGGGTCCAAATTTCATGCTTAGGGGTACAAGTTGTATAATAATATGTAGCTTAAAACTCTTTGAACAATCCAAATAAATAAGAGATCAGCCATAACCTAAAATATCCCCATTTCATTCATAACATCATATGTAGCTTAAAACTTTGAGAACTGAAACATAACGGAACATAGATCTGAATTTCTGAGACGGTGTTGGGTGAAGAAAGATTAGAGCAAGGTGGAAGCGTTACCATACGCGCGTGCTCGGGGGTGAGCGGCACGGCCTCATAGCCGCGGTAGATCACGGCCCTAGAAGCGCCGCGGTTGGCGAGCACGAAGTAGTCTTCGAGAACCAGCACGACGAGAGCCCCGGAGCCGACGCGCGCAGGAGCATCGATGCCACTACCGCCACCGATGAGCACCTCTTTGTCCACCACGCGGACAGCGTCCACGATGACTGTCTTCCACCAGTCCTCGACGTCGTTTTGAGCCCGCGGGGCCTGGGCGAGCAGGTCCCGCTTAATCTTCTCAGCGACGACGACGTGCAGCCGCTCTCCCATGTGCTTGGCGTACATGGCGCCCAAGATCCCGTCGAAGACCCCGAAAAAATCAAGTCCCATCGGCGGGGACAGCACCGTGAACGACTTCACGGCGGCGACGGCGTCCTTCAGCATCGGGAGCCGGTCGTTGCGAGTGGCGGTGCCGTACGAGAGGTACATCTGCGGGCATTTTCCCCACGTCGGCACCTCCTCTTCCGCGACATCATTGACATCGATGTCCATGGACATGGAGGCCTTGCTAGCTGCTCTTGTGCTTCCAATGCTAAAACTGTACCTACCGGGCCCCTCAAATTTCGACCTGGCGGAGGAACGCCCCGGCCTTACCTGTATGTGGGTGTGTGTATCGCATGACGGGAGTGCCAGTAACGCGCGGCGCTGTAGAACTGGGAACCTGGCGCGATGTGAGGTATGGGTCACACCGCAGCTGGCGATTAATTACCTGCCAAATTTTATCGTCTTCATATAGTTAACTCTTCGCTGGCAGCTGGTTCACGTTCACTGGATCTGCCCAGGGAAATTATTTGGTAAATATTTGTAAACATTAATCACAAGGGAACGCTTATCTCTTTGTTTTTTCCAAATTTTTCGTATTGTATTTCCCGCTTCTCTTTGTTTTTTTTTTTTTTTTTTTGAGAAAGCCCGCTTCTCTTTGTTATGTTTCAGTGAGCCGCGCGGACTGGAAATGGCATCACACCTGGTTTGGATGGGCAAGCGGCCCAGCCCAGCATATGGCTAGGTTCTTCTTCATCTAATCTTCATTTTTCGATTGGATCGGCGATGTAGCCGCCGAGGGAGTCCGAGAGCAAGAAGAGGGCGGCGGCGGTGCTTGGCCGCGCTCGCCCGCGCGCTCGCCCTGCTGCTCGCCGCGCTCGGACGCTTGCTCGCCGCGCTCATCGCGCACGGCCGCACTCACCTACTTGCTCACCCTGCTACTCGCCGCACTCGCCGCGCTTGCCCGCGCGCTCGCCCTGCCTCGACGTAGCTCCGAGCGCCGCAGCCCCGAGCTCCCGAGCCGCAGCGCCGTAGTCCCGCCTTGCCGCGCCGCCGGCCTTGCCGAACTGGCGAAGCGGCCCTGGTGGAGCTGGCGCACCCGGGCCGTATCGGCTTCCACGCCGGGTTCCAGTACCTCAACACCGGCACCGTGCTAGGTGGGCCGGACTCGAGGGACGGCTGCTGGCAGCTGCCTCGTCTCATGCAGTGCGTGGGCAGAGGAGATCCCGACGCTCGTCTCCCACAGTGCCTTGCGCTCGCCGGCAAGTTCCCTGGCGCTGCACCGGCGGCCAGCACAGTGGAGGCACTGCCTGGGCTCTGCCCGATGGCTGCCTCGTCTCCCGTGGCATGGCAGGTCGGCAGCAGCTGCTGGGTGCGTGGGCCGGGGACCGGGTAGAAGATAGAGGATGGATGGGTAGGTGGATGGCAAGTGGGCCGGGCTAGCAGCAGACCGAGACGGAAGAGAAGGATTCGGCTTGCCTGCTCCCTTCCCATGCCCCCATCCGTGCTCCCACTTCATCCTACGGTTGTCTTTTTTTCTTTTTTCTTTCTAATCTAATCATCTTCCCTCCTAATTTTAAGGAGGTGGGGCCGGGTCTTATTTTGTTCCAATCAAATCATGCCACATATACGGGAGCACGGATGGGCACACACGTGAGGAGCAGGCAAGTCTCGTCCGGAAGAGAAGTGCCCAGAAACCGTGCAGTCGTTCTAAAAAAAAAAGAAACCGTGCAGTCTATGTCCGCTTGAGACCCAAATCGCGAGCAAATTTGGTCAGAAACAGTCGGACACAAAACGGACGAAAATAAAGTCTGCACGTTGGGTCAGCATTTTTATCCATTAGGATCCGAATAAACATGCACGGACGAAATGGTGTGCCTTGGAGTTGGAGTTGGCCTGAGAGGGGGATTCACGGCGTGCAACACCGCCGGCTTCCTCGCCCGACGACCGGCGGCTGGAGCGCCCGGAGACTGAGCTGCTTGTGTCGCCCGGCTTCCGCGCCAGTCATGTGCTCTGCTCGCAGCAGAGCTTCGCGAGGTCACCGCGCTCGATGACGAATCATCCCGAGGACGGGGACGAGGCGGCTTCTCCGCGCCCGTGCCCCACCTGGCTCCTCGCAGCAGAGCTTCACGAGGTCGCCGCGATGGCGCCCGATGGCAGTGGCAGTCACGGTCGACGACGAGTCCCCGTGAGGACGGGGACGAGGCGGCTTCTCCCTGGCCGTCGTCGGCACGCCCATCAGGTACAACCCCAACTGCTAACCATTTTCATTTCTGTCATCGCTCATGCCTGCGTGGCTTCGTTAGCTAGTGGTGGTTCGACGCCGGCGAGCTTCCTCTCTCTCTCAGGTGGGCCGATTTGGGGGAGATGGCAACGAGGTCCAGCGGCTGCAGGGTAGATGGCAGGTAGTAGTGCTGATTCACGACCCCCATGAACTGTTTTTTGATAGAACTGCCATGGACAAAAAAATAAGTTCTCTATAGGCGGTGTTGTTTGTGTCTCTATTTCTAAGAATGGACATACATTTTGCCATGTCAACAGTAGAGTTTTTTTTTCTTCTTCTGTTTTTTGCCATGATCTATAGACGAATGGCAAATAAGCTACCCATGGCCATGGTAACCACAGTATAAAATTCCATTTTTGCACCTACAATGAATCTGTCCTAATCAACAAAACTACCATGGCATTTTTTGGCAATTTTTAGCCATGGCAATTTATCGTCTGATGCCATGGTATTTCATGTTTCAAGCACTCAACATGGAATTTTTCTGTTGATGCATATGAAATTATTTTAGAACAATTTTTGCTCTAGGTCATGGCCAAATAGACCATGGCATTTTGAAGAACTGTTTTGCTCTAGACCATGGCATGGTAGTTTCAAGAACCAAAATGCCCAACCTCCCGGTGTGTTGATACATATGGATTTTGACTAACAGCAGACTTATTATGTGTTACAGCCACTGGAATTTCTCATGTTCAAGCATTCAATATGACAATTTTTCTGTTGATACATTTGTCATTTTATCGAACTGTTTTTGCTCTAAGCCATGGACAAAAAGACAATGGCATTTTTACAAACTGTTTTTGCTCTAGACTATGGTAGATTCAAAGAAACCAAATTCCCAACTTCCCCCATGTATTGGTACATATGGATTTTGACTACTAGCAGACTTATTATTGTGCTACAGCCACTGGAATTTTTAACGTTCGAAGCACTCAACATGACATTTTTCTATTGGTACACATGGCATTTTTTAGAACTGTTTTTGCTCTAGGTCATGCCCAAAAACACCATGGCACTTTTAAAAAGATCTGCTTGCTCTAGACCATGGTAGTTTCAAAGAACCAAAATGGCAAACTTTTCCATGTGTTGATAATATGGATTTTGACTACCATCATCTTTTTTTGTGTGCTACAGCCAGTGGAATTTCAGGTTTTAAGCACTCAACATGATTTTTTTTTCATTGATACATATGTCAACTTATAACTGTTTTGCTCTAGGTAATGGCAAAAGATGGCCATTACATTTTTTTAAGAACTCTTTCGCTCTAGATCATGGTAGTTTCAGAGAATAAAGTGCCCAACTCCCCCCATGTGTCCCTAATCTCAGAAAAGGTTGCCATGGTACAATCCTTTTTGCCCCAAAATAAGTTGACATGTCCTTCTATAAACATAATTGGCTGTTTTGTAGTTTCCATGGATAATTTTTAATTGGGATGTTTCTCAAGTTGCATAACAACATTCCTATGATTTCTTTTAGAAGAATATATCCTGGCAATGTGTGATTTGTGTGTTGCCAATTTTTTTGTATCCCTGGGAGCATGTCATGTTTCTTTTATAGAAGCATGACACTTTTAGTATAAAGAGCATGGCATATTTATTATAAAGAGCAGAACATTTTTTTAAGAAAAGCATGTCATTTTTTAGAAGTATGGTAATTTTAGTATTAAGAGAATGGCATTTTCTATTATGAAAGCATGTAATCTTTGTTTAAAATAGCATATCATTTTTATTATAAAGAGTATGACATTTTTCGTAGAATCATGACATTTTTAGTATTAAGAGCATGGCATTTTTTGTTATGAAAGCATGTCATTTTTTACTACTTAGAGAATGACAGTTTTTTAATATTATGGTAAATTTAATATTTTTATTTACCATAGCAATTTCAATTTTTGGATCATTAGCTATTATTTTTTTTGTTATGACAAAGAAAATATAGAAGCATGGCAATTTTAATATTTGGATCATGGCATTTTTATTTTTAACGTTACAACATTTTTATTATCTTGATCTTTGGCAATTTCCTTTTGCCTTTTTATCATTCTAAATTTTTGAATCATTGTCATCATAAAATTTAAAACTTTGTTGAACATGGGAACTCAAATTGTAGAACCACGACAAGTTTAAATAATTTGTCTCTTTTTTCTATAGCTTGTTAGTGTACCATGGCAAATTTATGTTAGCTTGCATAGCATATTTGAGTATTAGCCATCATACAACTAATACTCAAATATGCTATGCATGATTTTATATACGATGGCATTTTTCTTTGTGTTCTACCTGTATGTTATATATGATAATCCCAGATAATGTGGTAATTTATATATTTTTTTTGGGGGTGTACAATACCTGGTCAATTTGATGTGCCTGTGTTTTTTTGCACATCATGGCATTTTTTGTGCTGTTTTAACTTTTTAAAATGAGGGACAAAATACTAGTTTCATAGATGCCGGTTTCAGATTTTGGCAAACTTATGTTTATTTCACACCTTCATCGGCTGCTTTTGTTTCTATTTTCAATGCATTTGCAAATATCATTGTAAGGCATTTTTTTATCAGTCCATGTTGAACTTGATGGCAGTTTATTATATATTTCAGGGCAATTTATATTTATTTGTTTAGCTATTCAAAGTCAAGTCCAAGTACTAGGTTTAAGGCCTTTTGTTTTACTCACAACAAAAGCTGGGAATTTTTTTGTTGCTAAAGCTGGGCCTTGGTCCTATGCTGAGAGGTTCGCTGTGGGGATTGTTTCCGAGCGAACGAATATGTTCGCTCGGACCCCCCTCCTGTGGCGAACCATTGGTTCGTTAGGACCCTCCCCCATGTTGCAGTTATTCTTCCTCGGTCATGGATGTGCCATACTGTTTAGTTGATTAATATATAATTCAGTTGTTGTCCTGATGTATTATTCTGTGCTTATATTTGAATAAAGTATATGCATGCTAGTATGTTAAAAGACTTGCATCATTAATCAACGTTGACTTTACCAGCTTGGGCATCTTCGCCTTGCTACCTGGAGTTGGATGTTGGATGGTCTTTTCGACCTTGCACGGAACCTCTATCGTAGCTTGTTGCAGTGTCCTTGTTGGGACCTTGTACCGAATCACTAGTATCTTTCGGCCTCAGTCTAAGGCCGGACGACATCCTTCCTTCTAATGTTTTTTAATGCATCCATGCTCTCTTGCACTTACACAATGAGCTAGCCATTTGACACATGCATGCCAGATGACAAATAACCAATCAAACTTGCGTGTGAACATAGCGCGAGCCTTTTTTGCTTTTCGGCTCAAATAACCAATGAAAGAACATGCGGTGCCCTCATGTTTCATTTTGGTAATTGACGAAAATCTCTATGGACTAATGGTTGCCTTGAGTTATATTTAAAGGTTTTGTCCATAGGCTTTTCTTGAAGTCCATGTGTTGGTTTCAAGGAGTTTATGAGTTGACCAAGGTGCTATTAAGGAATTATCCAAAGATTGGTCATGTGAGTGTTGAGCTTATTGCAAGTATGTCTTGAAGAAGAAGATTGTGTGGTCATTCATGTTTACCTTCAAGGCATCATCCAAATGAAGAGAGTTGGAAAGATTCAAGGTTGATCAAGAATAAGTCAAGAGTGAATCAAGTTGATCAACTCACAAAGCGTAGAAGATGTACCGAGAGGAATCAAGTGATCCCATGGTATGGTAAGCATTGTCCATTACACTTTGTGTACTAACCTATGGTCTATGTGAGAGTTCTATGTGGGGTTAGGTACGTGTCCATGGGCTTGCGTCAAGAGAAAGATATCATACAACCCATGGAAAGGATGACATCAAGTGGTGATCGTCATCAAGATTGCCGTGTGCAAGTTCAAGTGGAGCATCACGAAGAGATCAAGTGCTTGAATCTTGCCATCCATTGTGGTGTCAATGGACTTGTGAAGATGTGCTGAAGAGTGGCTCACCCATAGTGGACTATGGGGGAGCAATCATCTAGTCTTCATTGAGCCAACGCAATCAAGAAAGGTGGTCTAACTTGAGGGAGTCAAGATCGTCATCATCTAGCTCAAGTGGACCATGTGCAAGGCAAAGATTTTCCCTTGATAGGTTTTCTATTTTACCGGTCTCGTGGTGGTAGTTGGGAGACCGGGTTATAGGATCGTTTGCTGTACTATCAAGGGGGGCTCTCAAGTTGGTAGCTTGATCGTATCGTTAGTAGAGAGCTCAAACCATTGCATCCTTGCATCATATTTCTTGGTTCTTGTTTGGTTCTATTTGTGAGTCTTAGAGCTTCTGGTCATCTTGATGACAAGCTTGTGTTCATCGAAAACGGAGTTCGCATGCGTCTTCTATGATGTTTTCGGTGTTGGAGGTTTTACCGGTCTTATCCGAGGAAAGGTTATCACCATTTTCTTATGGGCCTTCTCTCATTTTCTTCTTATTGATATTTCTATCAAGATTGTGTTAGCCCATGTCATTAGCTTTCCAACAAACTTGGTTTCGTTGAATTCGGAGTCCGTTTGTAAAAGTTGTGGTTGTTTTGGTAAATGCTGCAGCGGTAGTACCGCGACTAGAGCGGATGTAAATTTTTACTACCGCTCCAGAGCGGTACTACCGCGGTTCCTGAGCGGTAGTACCGCTTCAGAGCTGTACTACCGCAGCTCCTAATCGGTAGTACCGCTCCGGACCAAAATCTCGTGTTTTGCTCAGCGGAGGTAGGCACGGAAGTATTTTTGTAGAACCGCTCGCAAGTAGTAGTACCGCTACCATTTGAGGTAGTACCGTGAGGTCGAGCGGTAGTACTGCTCCGGCGGTTCTACTGGACTTTTGCCTCCTCGCTGTTGTTTTTCAAAGGGGTAGCAGTAGTACCGCTCTGTGCGGGCTTTGAGCATAACGGTTGGATTTTTCTCCACCTATAAAAGGGGGTCTTCTTCCCCATTGAACCTTATCTCTTAAGCTCGTGTTCTTCCCCCATTGTTGACCTTCTTCGAGCTTGCTAACTCTCAATCCCTCCAATGATTCTTGCTAGTTCTTAAGGGAAAAGAGAGAGGAGATCTAGATCCACGTTTCCACCAATCACTTTCTCCTCTAAGTGAGGGGAACCCCTTGGATCTAGATCTTGGAGTTCTTCGTGTTCTTCTTTCGTTCTTCCTCTCATTTTCCTCCTTAGCATTAGTTGCTTTGGTGGGATTTGGGAGAGAAGGACTTGGGCACTCCGTGTGCCCTTGTCATTACATTTGGTGCATCGATTTGAGTTCTCCACGTGATACGTGGAAGTTACAAGTTGAGAAGCTTATTACTCTTGGGTGCTTGGTACCCTTGAGCTTGTTACTCCTGGGTGTTTGGACACCCTAGAGCTTGTTCCTCTTGGGTGCCTTGGCGCCCTAGACGGTTGGTGTTGTTCGGAGCTCAATCATTATGGTGTAAAGCTCCGGGCAAGCGTCGGGGTCTCCAATTAGGTTGTGGAGATCGCCCCGAGCAATTTGACGGGTACCGGTGACCACCCCAAGGGTTGCCAAAGTGTACGGGTTAGGTGACCGCCCCAAGGGTTTCCATTTGTACGGGTTCAATGACCGCCCTCAAGGGTCCTTTAGTGGAATCACGGCATCTTGCATTGTGCGAGGGCGTGAGGAGATTACGGTGGCCCTAGTGGCTTCTTGGGGAGCATTGTGCCTCCACACCGCTCCAAACGGAGATTAGCATCCGCAAGGGTGTGAACTTCGGGATACATCGTCGTCTCCGAGTGCCTCGGTTATCTCTTACCCGAGCCCTTTACTTATGCACTTTACTTTGTGATAGCCATATTGTTCTTTGTCATATATCTTGCTATCACATAGTTGCTTATCTTGCTTAGCATAAGTTGTTGGTGCACATAGGTGAGCCTAGTTGTTGTAGGTTTTGTGCTTGACAAATTAACCATTAGGTTTATTATGCATTTGTTCAAGCCTCTACCGTAATTATCTTAAAACGCCTATTCACCCCCCCTCTAGGCGACATACACGATCTTTCAACCAACCAACAACTACATATACTCTAGCTTTCTAACTGACAACCCCCTACCTCAGTGCTCAAGATATACCAATCAACAACTACAACAAGTTAAAACGACAAATTTCAATTCTCAGATAGAAAATCATCTCTTAGCCCCGCTTGGAATCAATGTATCTCTATACACTGGTATATTTTTAAGGTGTATCTCACCGTCCGTACGTGATTTACAGCTGAGAAACAAAACGACCGATCAAGGTCTGTATATTTTACAGGTGTAAAAGCGCTGGAAACAACGATCCAATCAGGGCCTTAAAGTAAACATGTACTGGTAAACATACTCTAGCTCTGTAACTATGTAACTTAAATCCCCCTCTCTCAATGCTCAAGATATATCAGTCCAAAATCACAAGAAATTAAAAACCAAATACTTCAATTCTTTGGTAGAATATTGTCTCTTAAATAGTAAGACATAGGTTGTCTTAACAATGATCCATCTTGAAATAGCTACAAGAGAAATCACAACAAACTTATTCCAAAGTCCGCCTTAGCAATCATTAAGACAGCAAGAAAGTTTTCATACCACAATTGCAGAATGATAAGACCGACTACGAGCATGGAAAACCAAAATCACTTCTTACAAGTTGAGGGAAAACTCTGGTCCCAGAAATTCTTGAGCAGTATGACGACGATGTTCACGTTGTGCTTGGTGCCCTTGCTGATCGCATGTGCGGCCAACTCATTGGCGAGTATGTTGGCACAGGGAGGGCCGCTGCTGTTTGTTGGCTTCTTGCCTGACGACATGATGATCTGCGGCACGTACTCGCTCAATCTTTTCTCGACGAAGGCGCACGCGTCGCCTGGAGTGACGAAGTCCCACAGCCCGCGGGTGGCCAGGATCAGGAACTTGTCCCGTGGCTTCCGCTTCACTGCGACGACCTCAGGTTCTGGGGCAGTAGCCATAATCTTTGAGCTACCAACTGTATAGTAGGAGGTGTGCCATTTTATCATGCATGTTAGAAATTAAACACATGAGTTATGGGTGTATGAGGGTGTCATGTGGGAACTAAGACACACACATATATACGTGCGAGTGTGATGCACCTTTCAACGTCACAATTTTTTTTTGGGATCTTTCAACGTCACAGATGAAAGGAAAACTATGGAAATTGCAGGCAAAAACCAAAGAAAAGATGATGAGAGTAGTTAAGACTAGTGTTCAACTATTTTTTCCAGAAAAATATGGACTTACAAAAAGCGTGAGGAGGCATAACGTCTTCAACTCTGCTGGTAGATCCAACCACATCACCTCCTGCATTTTGTGGCTGCGCATATAAATACATTATGAACCGTGTAAGTTTTTCTTCTTCTTGAGATAAGCTCAAGAAAGTACATAACTAACAGATTAAACATTAATCATGTGCAATTTTCTGCACATTATAAACTATCACAATTTGGTGCTGAGTGACTTTACAACACACACATTTTAAAAAATAAGTTAAATAGCTTAAACCCTCTAAATATGAAAAACCGCTGGATCCTAATACAAGCAGCTGGAAGTAATTGGAGTAAGACCAACACCTATCATATGCATAATGAACAGAGAACAATAATATATATGAGGTGAGAATGAGATTAACGCCTGGGAGCAGAATAAGGGCCCACTCAGGTGCTTTAAACTAAATTTTAGCTAGTGGTGCAGACTCAATTGCATCTTTCATACCCATACACTGTACTGAACTACTGATTACATAGTTCATATGGACATCTTTGTCTCAAATGCCTTACAGATATATAGCAGTCACTTTTTCTTTGATTTTTGCCTGCAATTTGGGAGCCTCTCCATCAGATATACTTTGGGAGCCTCGGGTGCCTGCTATTTTTTTATGTATCAGTTACTTTTGTTTTTACCCGTGAGATTTCAATCTAAGGGCTGGTCTCCTCTCTATGTACTAGTTGCCTGAAAACAGATCACGTCCCAGTTACTTTTTTTGTAAGGAAAATGGTTTCACGCTAGCGCACCGGCCGAAACTTTGGCCAGTGGCGTCGCGTGCGTCCGATCCCTGTGCACGTTCCCCTCG